ATCCATGAGAAAACAACAACCAGAAGAGCTTGTGGAGGGCGTAAACCGAGTACAACCAAACAGGAGGACGACCTGATTCGTATTACTCTGAAAAAAAAACATTGGAGAAAATCGTTGTCGTTTAGCCAACGAGAAGATCTTCCTCGCCATTCATACTCTTTTCTGGAACCAAAAGAATGAAAACACTTAAAATGCGTCAGTTTTCAGTTGTTCATGCAATTTCCCCCCAAGTGCCCGAATCTCAATATGATTGAAAATCTGTTTTCTGTTTTGAAGATAGAGGAGGCATCAGTGCGACACGTAATGGATCACAAAATTGCAAATGACTTCATAACAAAATTGGTTGATTCCATTTCTAAGAAACTCGAAAAAGTCCTAAAGAACAAAGGCAAACCAATCGACTGTTAGTGTACATAAACCTCACATCTTAATTATTATGAATGCTAATTGGTTGTAAATAAAAACTGTTTCATTCTCTTTAGTTACCTCTTGACTCATCATGGTGTAGGTCTACCACTAATAAAGGAATTGGAGTAACCGCTACATTTTGAACCATACCATCTGCTGAGTATAAACGAATCATAAAACTCACGTCTATAAAGACACGTCAAGGCTTGTTTATTATTATTTTGAAAAAAATTACTTCAGTTTAAATGCTGTTACCTATATGAACCGACAAGTGTTTCACAGGGACTCGTTGCCTCAGTTTAAATTAGACTTGTATATGCGACTGATCGATATACAGGACGTATGAAAAACATTGGTTCCGTCTGGGGTGAATTTGGAGCCTGAATATAACACTTCATAGATCCCGGCGCAAGTCTGTCTGCTGTACAAGATGAATTGTTCAAGATTCTCATCGGATTCACAGTTACGTGTGATTAGTCATGTGGGATAATTTCAGTGTTTTTGCATGAAGCGGCTAACTTTGTCAAATATCCGCAAAATACAAATCCCTGTCGAATAAACGGACAAATGTGAATTTAAGTGGTAGAAGAATAACCCGAATTGGAGTGTGTTGTTTGGGTCAAACAATTCGTTGTTGTTAGCGATTTATTTCGATCAGACTTGAATTTGTGTTTTGTGGGAGGTGAGGAATGATGATAAAAGTCGAATTACCATCCACCCTGTCCGCACAGTCGTCCTATTCGAGTCCCACGGGAGTCCCATTGGAGTCTGTTTGCACCATAAACGGGACTCCAATGGGTCTTCCTCCAATGGGACTCGTATGGGACTCGGATAGGACTCAGATAGGACTCAAATGGGACTCTATGAGACGGCTCCCGAAAAGAACGCATTTTATTCTACTAAGCATTGCTTACATTTCTCCAAGTTCGTGTATGCTTATTTGATTATCAACTACATTATATGTTTCTAAATTTAATTCCTAGAAATGCTAGTTTATCATCCATCATTCTACATGTTGAATAACAAAATTCACATTATAAATTTACCACTTGAACCCCCTATTTGAATATAAAAGAAGTGATACAAGAGGGACATTGAAATGTGCATTTGAGATGAGAGTTGTACAGCTTTTACTCATTTGCTATCAGACAAATATTCTGATTGGTTTTCCTTTTTGCACTCTCTTCTGTGTCTTTGACTGGGCCTTCTGAATCCATCCTTGTATTCCCTCACATAATTTGAAGTGAGTTTCACCCGGGAATTTCTTTTTCATAGTGCAATCCACATATTGGTACACAGTTAGATAATACAACACACTGATCGACCACCAACTTCGCAACATAAGTAGATTACATCCAATACTTGTTGTTAGCGCCAAAGATATGCATGTAAAACTAGTTTATTTAAACAAACTGCGAGCTAATTTCACCGCTACTAAAATACACAATTTCATTGGTTTTTAGTATTTAATTTATCATTCCAGTAATTTATTCGGGTCAGTTTTTTGTAATATATTAAAATTAGGTATGCACAGTCCCGACGGGACTCAAATAGAACTCCAACGGGACGGTGGTTACCGGAGTAGTCCCGGCGGGACTCGAATAGGATGATCAACCGTCCCGCTGTGCGACCAGGGCAATAGGGTTACTGGAGTCGTGAATACAGCAATTAAGACTACGTTTATTGTTGTCAAACTCAGATGCGTGTTCTCGACATTATTTGTCATCCGCATGTCAGAGCAAGGACAAGTTGCCTGTATTGACCTCGTTATTGCTCANTAGGGCGGAAAAAGCCCCGCCACTGATGCAAAAACTGCGCAAAAATGTATGCCCCGCCACGTTTTGCACACAACTTTGACCTCGAATGAACTTTTTGACGCTGTAAACTGTCGTTCAAGACAAGGAGACGGCAATATGGAGTGACCCATCAGCAACGTTTATGCAACAATGGTCATCACCGTAAACGGTTTCTGACCGGTGGAGGTGTAATGCCCGACAGTGCTGGCAAGAAATCGGTCTTCGAAAGGGAATTTGGCTGGAGCAATCTAGGATGGAGTTTAGAACAGTAATTCTATTCATTTATTGCTGGTCCAAACATTAAGCAAAAATCAAACTTTGCTCAGAGGAATTATCTATTAACTAGGAGAACTTTCTGCGCGAAGTTTGCGCCTGGCGGCTTTCGCAGACTCCAACAGTTATCGGCGGCCCAGGTCTAAACGTCAAGATCGATGAAACGCTAATATCTCGCCGTAAAAACCACGCAGAGCGAGTCCTTCCCCAGTGGTGGATTTTCGGAGGAATCTGCCGGGAAACTGAGGAGATATTCATGTAAGCAATGCCAGATCGAACTGCAGCCACTTTGATGGACACAATCCAGGCGTGCATCGCTCTCGGCTCAAGCATCATCTCCGACAAGTGGGCATCATACCAAGGAATTGAAACGCTGATTGACATGAATTATACTCATTATATTCACACACACAAACCATCGAACCTGTTTTGCACGTCTACAAGATGCAAAATAAACGCCAATGCGGCAGCTTCTTGTGTGAGTTCGTTTGGAGGCAAAGGTACCGAAAAACGGATCTTTTCATGCAAATTATTAATAAAATGTACCAATTTCACTCTCTTCAATAAAAACTAAAAACATATCCTCTTTTTTCTAATTGTTTTGGGTGGCGGGGGTTAATTTTTTTGACGGGGCTTATCTGGAAAAGATCCTGTTGTGGTTTCACCTGTCAACAACCCAACAATTCGTCTTTGCGATCATGGAGTTTCCGGACTGATGAATCACAGTCGTGAAGAGAAACAAACGTTCACGTGTTGAGAATACGGCCAACATAGAAGCATATTACGTGGAGAATTCTTATTTAAAATACGAACAAACCTCAGGTAATTGGGGTGAACTATGAAGCTGTACAAACTCGAAATCCAGTTGAACACCAATCTTAGTGTCGAAATCAATCGTGTTCTTTTTCAGTCACATTTACTCATACATCTGAGCAACGTAGACACGCATGATATTTCGAATGCTCATACTACTAATAAATGTTTCAGTCAGACGGAAAATTCAAAGTGAACATGATTGAGAAACACATGGATTGCATCGTGGAGAGGTGAATTTTATTTTGACAGGGAGAGAAGATAAAAAGTTTATTGAATAGAATGTAGTTGTAATGGATATCAGTGNTCTCAAGCTCACTCTTCTAATCCTAATGAGCAACGACAAGTTGAAGGACTATTGCGAACAGCGAGAAAACGTGTCGCTCTCTCTTTCTCTATCGCCCTGAGTTCGTATGTGCACTCAAACTTGTCGGCTATCAATCGCTCAAGAAATTCTCGCCCGAGTAGGAAACAAACAACATTGTGTGTGTAGGTGTGTGTGTGTATGTGCGCACGTGCGTGACAAGTGTACATATTCACACTGTCTACCGGGTGACGTGTTTCACTTTCACATTTTTTTGCAAACTGTTTTGGCATTCGAACGTGGGCCTAAATGGATTGTAATGCGACTAGGTAAGTGAGCAATCACGTACACACACACACACATACGCACAGACACACACGCACACACATCGTTTCAAGACATGGTTGACAGATTTTGGCGGTAAATTTGATCAAATTTGGGCAAGCAATAATGTCAGTGCTCGGTTGCGTGGATAAAAGTGATCGGTTTGTCGAGGTGTGCGACGCAATTTCGACATTCATTTTGACTTAATTGGAAGTTTTACGGCGAGTACGATGTAATCTTATATTTTTACAGAAAACGTTCCGGCTAAATTGGAGGTTTTGTGTTCTTTTTTTAATGCATATATATATATATATGCGTATTGCGTCCGTTGCATTGCAAAGCA